ACAATACTATTGGTTATTACAGTTAAATTATACTTTAAAAAAGATCTAGTTCAAATAGCGTAAAGACGTATCACAACATATCTTGACTTTGAGCGTGATAGTGCTGATCACGCGGTAGGAATACGAAGTCAGTTAAACGTTAGAATGAAGTGACGTGTCCTCCGACCAAACCAAGCAAACACAAAACAATTTTGAATAAATTAAACATACACCTGCAACTGCGTTCGCCATATAACCTGTACACTAATTTGCAAGTCTAATCGCAGTGTGAATTCTCACGTGACAATTACTAAACCGCCAGAGTTTATTATACAAACAAAAATGTCCAATGCCTCCACACGTACAATTTTAACATGTGAGACTAAGTAGTAAAATATCCTGTGAACATCACACTTAGCCTTGTTTACAAGCATGTAATCAAATTGCGGTGTGCAAGCTGCATGTTTCGGGGTTGCAGATAAGTAAGACTTATTTCAACTGAAAATGTGGCTTGAATACGGATACCAACACTATCAGGAGACATGTAATAACAGAGCACACAAAACATTTAATTTAATTTAACCGTGTTATGCATTGACCAAAAAGCCTATCTCTGTTTTTATGGTTAAACCAGTCCTGTCATTGCCACGTGTTGTCGTGCAACCACCTATATGTAATGTGTTATCCATATACTGCTCGTTGCCAAGCCCTACAATATAGTAGAAATATAAAATATTTTTCATCTAATCCCTAACTTAGTGGTCTCTGTTCTTAAGTTCTAAAAGTACATTAGCATTATAGGTTGATTCTGTAACATTTGTTACCATTTTGGTGTTGTTTTGTGAACTTTGTATTACCTGGTAAATTAGAATTGTGTATTGTTATTTCTTGATGAAGGCATAGCTGTAATCATTGGAACAAATATAGCGACTTGTCGATATATATTGATTTGTTATTTAGTTGTTTTTACGTTTACAACATATAACGTAATAACATAAATGCGATAACTACCATAAGTATAGTTGCAAAGCCGCAATTACTGATTTTCAGGAATAAAAGTGAAGACATTGGGAGCAGCATACATTAGCAAACCTGATTGAAGTGGTCTTTTCACGACGTTTGAAGACACTTGGGAGCAACATACATCAGCAAACCTGATTGAAGTGGTCTTTTCACGACGTTTGAAGACATTGGGAGCAACATACATCAGCAAACCTGATTGAAGTGGTCTTTTCACGACGTTTGAAGACATTGGGAGCAACATACATCAGCAAACCTGATTGAAGTGGTCTTTTCACGACCTTTGAAGACACTGGGAGCAACATACATCAGCAAACCTGATTGAAGTGGTCTTTTCACGACGTTTGAAGACATTGGGAGCAACATACATCAGCAAACCTGATTGAAGTGGTCGTTTCACGACCTTTGAACTGATGATTTGCATTGAGTCATGAAGGATTTGATTTGTACTTATTTAATGAGCTATAACAGCCATATATTGTATAAACTATTTTAATATAATTATTAATATATTGTAGTTATTCATAATAATAATAATAATAATAATAATAATAATAATAATAATAATATAGTTATTCATAATAATAAAGTCACATCACTATATATATTTGACGAGAATGGACACAATTTTACTGTCACCAGGCGATACAATAATAACAGATATTGTTTTCACTGTGACTGATTAACTAAGCCAGCGCTTCGTGACATGTTGGCAACAAGCAATGTCGCGCTACTTTTTCAACCACCGTACTCGCCCGAATTTAACCGAACTTTCGTCAAGTGAAGAGAAAATTACGACAAATGAAATATTTTCCGTGGTATTACTGAGACTGCTATTATTGGCCGATTTGCATCCATAACGTCCTTGGTGTCACACAATTTCTTGTGTTTTTGGTGGAATTGACATGGACGAGACAACACTAAAAAAGAATTTGCGCTGGGGGCGGGGTAATTTGAAAAACCTTCTAGAACTTGAAAAATTCACTGAAAAGATTCGGATCCACACATTTAGTCATTAATAAAGCGATCGAGGCCCACATAAAAGCATAATGTTTGCTACTAGGCAGAAAAACAAGGCCGTATTGTCCTTTGTGCCTGGTTAATTTGAATAACATGTTCCTTACGTTGTCCAGTCACATTAATTGCCTTATTATACGTTCAAGGATATCAAACTCAGGCGTCATTTCAGATATTTCGCCGCGGCTTTTCGTCGCAATGATAGTCAAAATGCTAATTATAAGACAAAAAACGAAAAAAAACACCTTTAGAACGCCGCTAATGGCCCTTTGATTCTTCATGAGAACTTGAAGTGGATGCACGCCATCGTTCGAGTGAGTTTTAGACAAAAGCAAACGTAGAATACAATTGACTAAGCTACAACAGCAAATAGTTCAATTATGATTTAATTGTAACCTTTGCACAGGGCGTGGTTTTATAACGTCACAGATTAGAATTCGACCCAAGCATTTGAAGTGGTCGAAGTCCATTGCCCGATCGCACCATTTCGTATCTGTTCATCCCTTTCTCCACGAATATGTGAAGGCAGTCAGCTGGAACTTCATACTTTGAAACCTCAGGATGATGCATGCTGCTATAGACAGCCGGTGACAGTACCTACAAAACACGTTGCTATAGAGTAGTCATCATCATAGTCTGACACAGATTTCACGCAGTACACGGAGACGCTAGTAAAGCGACGAAGATAACTGTTGGGTGAATTATTCCTTCGTTTCTGTCGAAGTTGGCTCAGTTGGCTTCCAGATTTCATTTGCGTGTTGGTTTGTCTGTCGACGTAAGCATAATGAATTAACATCATATTGCAATTTACAATTTTTCACATCACTTTTCGTTCTCTTTAAAATCGTCAGCAAAGGCCTATGGAGTAAGACACATCATAGCCACTGTTGTGAACAATTGAGAAAATGACTTCAAAAGTAGAATTTCAAATTCATTGAAAGTTTAGGATACTATAGAGTACCAGTGCCAACCATACAGACATTCATACATACTTAATTGCTATCGTACAAAATAGCTAAAAATATACATTTTTGCTTTTTTTCCATTTTTCAACTTCTCATTATATACTACTTTAAATCTATCTGAACCTAAAACAAACCTGCTCTACCACTTATTTCTTTGTGTATGGAGCGCCCTTCTCCGACATATACATATTTATTATTATCTATTCTTGCACAAATGACGAACATGCAAAACGTATAACACGAAATGTAAACACAAGATGACGTAATATGTAAAATTGGAGATTAATAATTACCTATCAGCCTCGCTATCTTGCTAACATTATTACTGTGATCTTGATGACTCTGGTGACTAACAGAGCGGATTTCTGTAAAATCTTGCATCCACTAATGCTGAACTTCTACTCGACCTTGCCTCTTTTTAAAAAAACATTGAACTGTCCATATACGACAGCCATTGAAGTAAAACATTATGATGTGAAAAGCTGATCACACGAATAGGCCAGTGTTAATGCCAACCTAATTGTATGATAATCTATATTAATTGTTACATCTATATTATAGAAAATTTTAATCTATTTGTACAAGCTTGAAAACTAGAGGTTATCAACATTGAAGAAGTAATATCGATGTATGAGTACATGAATTTTTTAAATGTTGTTTGACAGAGTAACTGTGCATTGATGAATACATTGATTGTAGCACACTTCTATTCGTATTAGTTCCATGAAACAATGAATAGTTTATAATAAATACGAATCAGATTTGGTCTGCATCAGTGAGTATCGAACATCAATATTTGAAAAATATTTAAAAAAAACAATATTTGAAAAATATATAAAACTGTTGCGGATGGATAGCCAATCAGAAACAATATTGTAAGTAACATCGCATTAACTAGAAAAATATAGGCCACTGCCCGATGATAACTGTTGTGTCAGGGATTTTAATATACATGTACTATATAATAATTGGCATCTTGAATTTATGTTAATTATTTTTTATCAATTCGGCCGTGCATGATAAATGATACAGATATCCGCAAATGCGATTATGTTACGGTGTTGTGAATGGCGACATCGGGGGTTATTGTCCCTATTCTCAACTTGTTTTCAACATTTTATAAAAAATAATTTATAGAGCAACCAAATCCACATATTTATATGCAACTTGAATATGACGTCATTACCAACATGAATATTTATTTTACTATGAATACAAAAATGTACAAATTTGTATGTTCTAAATTGTCGCTCTTTTGTCTTGTGTGATCTTTCCGTTGATGACTAACTAATCAAAGTAGACACATGACAGTTTTTTTCATGATGAGAATTGTTTGAGACAATAATTTAAAAGGCTTGGCAATATTTACCGTTGGAGTTGGAGTTGTACTGTCCAAAAATATAATTAGAAGAAAGAAACATTTACATGCTGCAAACATTTATATTTTTGTGGGCATAGAAAAAGTCTGAAAATAATTTTATTTGCAAGTGACATAACATGGATATTTATTCAGTAATTTGTTATTTTGTTTCACGAATATGTAATCACGTGGAGGTAAATATTAACAAAATATGTCACGTTCATTACTAAACTTCATTCCCATAATTATATTTATTTGTTGATTGCAAGTTAAATAGGAAAGAAAAATGCATAGGCAAATTGGAACGTAACTTTAATATCACAAGACGATGGTGTCTTCTTCCTCGATATATAATCCTCCATTATAATCAGAACAATTTGCATAACGTGTTCCCCAGGTGTTGCTTCGGTATAAAAGGTTAAACATGTGACGTCTCATTCCGTGAAAAAAACTGCTGACGTAGCTAATTTGATGCTCGGCCGAAACGAGCTACTCTGTCCGTCCAACGTTAGGCTGGTGACCAGATGAAAGAAGCCATGTCGCTGCTTTTCTCCCTCTTAATAATGTGGTGGGTATGTTGTTGTTGCACTATTTCTTCTCTGGAGGTGAACCTGAAAAGATCAAATGTAGCCGTTCGTCGCACACGAGGTGACTTGAAAATGTCCGGACAAGACAAACATAACTCGCCTGGGAAGTACACAGAGGTTTGTATTTTTTTACATCTAACATCTCTTAATAACTTTGAATATATATCCTAGCCAATACTCGACGCCTTCATGAAAATCCGTTTGTCTATTATCAATGACTATACATCTTGTGTGTGTAACAGCTGATGCGCCAAAGCAGAAGATTTCGTGACGATGAGGCTAATAAGATGAGTGGACTCGCTCCATTAAGACCAATCATTAACTGGGGGTGTGGCATCGATGAAATAGTCTGCCAATCAACCGGTGAATGTATACCCAGTTACTATTTGTGTGACGACTTTCCGGATTGCCTTGATGGGTTTGACGAATCGGATACTTTGTGCGATTATACCGGTAAGTGAACTTGAAAACGCGTCGTGATCCAATGTTACTAAACACCTACGGAACACTCGCCAGGTAAGTACAATGTATGGTTTACTCGTGAAGCGGGCATGGCATTTATAATTAAGTGGGTGTTCCTGCCATTCTTGCAAAAGTTGCATAGTCACATTTACATGATCTATAGTAACACCAACACAAACACTGAGCGCTGAAGTCATCGGTCACCATAAGCAAGGGCATGGCCAAATACTAGAAATTGTTTGGTTTTGTGATTATATACCACTATTTTCAAGACTGTCTAGCTCCAATTTTGTAATGTTTATATAATTATTCAGTGATCAAGGCCACCTTATATTGCTTGTAATTTGGGCCCACTCACAAACAATTCTTTATTGCTCAGAGTGTGGATATGATATGGTTAAATGCCCAGCAAACGGAGATGTGTGATATCGCTCGAAATTTGCAATGGATACGAATTTGACTGCAGCGACAACTTTGACGAATCAACAGCTATCTGCGGAGGTAAGTGAAATCAACACGGGTCAGCTAGTCTATGACAATACACACTGAAAATATTAACGGCAGTCTATCAAAAATGTGCTCAATCTTGTAGGTATTAAGCGGGTTTAATCAATCCTACGTTATTTGAGTGAGTGCGGGGAAAAGCGTATGAACAACATTTTAAAAATTAAACATTAAGTTTCAATTAGGATTCTTAAACACAAATTATCAAGTATATTATAAAAATGTAAAATTAGGAATTTGCTTTACTTGTAAAGTGTACAACTATTTTTACTGTAAATGGAACTTGCCTTTTTATTTCCTGTAAAAACGTAAAATGTATTTTTTTTATTTCCTGTAACCTGTACCAGCTATCTACCTCAAAACAGATTACTTATTCAATCGTTTCCAAAATCGAAACTTGTCATACATGTATGCCTTCTATACCCGTGGGCCTTGTATTGAGTCGCATTGTTGCTTTTTTTCATTCCTCAAGTTGAATGTGGACGTGGAGAGTACCAGTGTTCTAATGGAAAATGTATACCACATTACTGGGTATGCGATGGTTATGGTGACTGTGATGACAACGTTGACGAAGCGTCCTCTATATGTGCAGGTGTGTATTATTTGAAGTTGCATTTCCTCTCGCGTGTACGATCTCAAGATATTACACATTATGCACATTCCATTGCACCCAACAAAACACCAGTGTCTTTTCCTGATGCTAATTCATCATTTTGTATTTCCTGTCAGGTTGTAATATTGAACACATGAAATGCATCGATGGAACCTGTATATCAACAGATAAGGCGTGTGATGGGATACCAAATGACTGTCTAGACAATTACGATGACTCAATAGAATTGTGCAGTAAGTTAAAATTGTTGAACTCCAGTGCCTGCAATTATCCAAGTCGTATCTAGTTTGTACTGACGTGTATTGGTTGTTAAGTATGGTAAATGTCACCAGTGCACAGCCATCTGTATATGGATTTTATATTCTGGTAAACACGTACATTTGTTTTTTCTTCTACCAGTTGCAGATTTTTTTCTCTAGTAGCGTTTTTCGTCAAAGATAAACCAAACTTTAGGAATTTATTAGATAATTGTAGGTCAATTATCTGCAGTATTGCATATGTCAGTGATATTTTAAATCTGCAATTAGCTTCAAAGTCTGCTTCTGCATGTGGTCATAATCACTGTACCATGGTCAACTTTGATGTTGTCATATTGTAAGCCTGATAAAAAAAAATTGAAGTTGAACATTCTCATTGTTTTTTGAAATGGTTTGTTCTTATTCTCTTCAGGAGATGCTCAGACGACATGCTCACAATATGAATGTTCAACTGGAGAATGCATTAGCCAAGTACAGTTTTGTGATGAAACTGCCGATTGTGTCAGTGGTGAAGACGAGACAAACTGTGCTGCATGTACATTGACTGAATTTACCTGCACTGATGGCAGCTGCATTCCTTTATCTTTCTTATGTGATGGAATAGTGGATTGTTTAGATGGCAGTGATGAACATTTATTGACATGTAATATCAGTCCATGCACACCTCTTCAGCATGAATGCTCAACTGGTGAATGTATTTCTTCAAATCAGTTCTGTGATGGTAATATTGATTGTTGGAGCGGTGAAGACGAGACAAACTGTGCTGCATGTACATTGATTGAATTCACCTGCACTGATGGTGGCTGCATTCCTTTATACTACACTTGTGATGGAATAGTAGATTGCTAAGATGGCCTGGACGAGATATGTATCGAACCTTGTCCAGACTATGAAAGTTCAACTGGTGAATGCATTTCTTCAGATCAGGTCTGTGATGGTAATATTGATTGTGCCAGTGGTGAAGACGAGACAAACTGTGCTGCATGTACATTGATTGAATTCACCTGCACTGATGGTGGCTGCATTCCTTTATACTACACTTGTGATGGAATAGTAGATTGCCAAGATGGCCTGGACGAGATATGTATCGAACCTTGTCCAGACTATGAATGCTCAACTGGTGAATGCATTTCTTCAGATCAGGTCTGTGATGGTAATATTGATTGTGCCAGTGGTGA